ATCTGGAAATTAGGAAGTCACCCATTATCTGATACAAAGTGGTTGGAGTGGAGTGAATGAGGCAGGTTGCTTACTGCATGATCTATCTTTGGTGAAATCTTGATGGAGAGCCATGTTGGCTGCATTCACCAGCTCTTATTCAGTTGTAATCACAATATCATAGTCGTTCTCTTCCTAGAGCCTGTTCCTTTTCACAGCTCAGAATCAGGCCTACTGTGGACTTTTTGCTAATTATGTGCCAAGCTAAGTTGCTTTTATCTACTGAAGGAGAAGACAAATGGGGCTACATAAGATTTGGCAGTAACTTACATGAAGGAAGGAAAATCTTGGAATATGATTTTCCAAAGTCAAAAAAGAAAGATTTATAATGCAAATTAACCTGCAAATCTGAGTGTCAACCCTGAAGTTACCCTGTAGTGGCAGCAGAGCCAAAGAGAGAGAAACTTGATCTCCCTTTTTCGGGTCAGTCTCCTCCCTCACGATCAATCCCTGTTCATGAGCTCAGCATGTCTTCCCTTTCATGATGTACATGCTATAATTAGAAATATGTAATCAAGAATGTGAAAACAATAATAGCAGTTAATATCCCAAAGCCAAGAAGAAATGTGCATGTATATATATAATACATAATGCACAAATATATATATATATATATATGTATATATATATATATATATATATGCATACACATACATACACACACATATATATGTATATGGAATATCTATGCTATTTCACCAGCCCAAGAGTTGATTGTGTTAAGTCCCCATCCCCATATTCTAGACAGCATAAATATTTTATTTCATTTACTTGCCTGAGGGTATGCCAGCAAACATGGGAGCACTTGGCCCATAATCTATGCATGCATGAGTAGAATCAGACAAACTGGGGGGGGGGGGTTGGAGGTGGATCTAGGCCTCCATTTCAAAACATCAATACTTCAAGGACCCATAGTTCCTTCTATGCATAGATTGACACAGAGGGTGACTCCACTATGCTCTATAAATGGATGAATGAAATGATGAATGAATCAACATTTATTATTTGCTACATACCAAGCTCCTTACTGAGCTCTGCTGATAAAAAAAAAAAACCAACTCTGATTTCTTTTGGGGGGGGAGGGGGTTAGGCAATTGGGGTTGAGTGACTTGCCTAGGGTCACACAGCTACTAAGTATCATGTATCTGCGGTCACATTTGAACTCACATCCTCTTGATTGCAGGGACAGTGCTCTATCCACTGTGCCACCTAGCTGCTCCTCAGGCTCTGTTTTCAAAGAGTTTACATCTTACTTGGAGAAAACCACATGGTATAGAAGGGTTTAGCTGCAAGGCAGATGGCAAGGCCTATGGGCCCTTAAAATATAGTAATAATAATAGCTAACATTTATATAGTACCCTAAGGTTTACAAAGTGCTTTAGAAATATTATCTCATTTGGTCCTCACAACAACCTTGTGAAATATGTGCTATTATTATCCCCTTTTTACAGATGAGAAAACTTTGACTGAGAGAGATAAGTAACTTGCCTAGCGTCACAAAGCCATCTGAGGTAGAATTTGAACTCAGGTCTTCCTGACAGGTCCAGCACTCTATCCACTTTGCCACCCAGCTGCCCAGCAAGTAGCAAGATGATTAGCAGTGCCCTGGAGTGTTTAGGGTGAATGTGCAGGTCGGATGGCAATTCCCTAAGAGTCTGGAGAATGTAGCCACAGAATGCAGCTTTCACAAGTTGCTGTAGAAGAAATAAGTCTTCCCCTGACGATTAGTCTTCTGGTAATGAGTCTTTCATAATGCACAAAGTTGGCTGTCAAATAACCTATATACAGGTCAACACCAAGCCTAGACTTTCTGAAGCCTTTCCAGCTTGACAGGGTCTTCCAAAGCATAGCCTTCAATCAATCAATTAACAAGCATTTATTAACTGCTTACTATATACCAAGCACTGTGCTAAGCACTGGGGTTATAAAGAAAAGCAAAAACAGACATGCCCTCAGGGAGCTAACATTCTAATGAAGGGAAATAAATAGGTACATACAAGATACATTCCAAATGGATAGAAGGTAACCTTAGAAGGGAAAAGAGGAGGACATCAGTGGAAGCCCAAAATTTATAAGGCAGCTTCAAGAAAATACCATCATTCAGTTCTAGGATAAAAGCCTTCCAACGTTTGCAGAAGGCTTAGCTTCAGATCGGATCATCCCAAAAGCTTGACCACTTCCTAGTAATAAGTATATTCCATAAGAAAAGAATTAGAAAAGGACTCATTAGATCATAGATATAGATATAGATATAGATATAGATATAGATATAGATATAGATATAGATATAGATATAGATATAGATATAGATATAGATATAGATATAGATATAGATATAGATATAGATATAGATATAGATATAGATATATATTCCATTACATCTCACCATTCTGAGATATTTATTTGGGTTTAGTGTAAAGTAGTTTATTATTATTGTCATGGCTCCCAGGCCTCTATAGATCTTGGAAAGTCCCTGTTCTTAGGCTCTGTGTGAGACCTTGGGTAAGTTATTTCATCCTTGTCAGTTTTCATATCTCTAAAATAAAGCTAGCCGGGGATGGGGGCAATGCAGTGCAATGAAAAAAGTCCTGAATTTGGGAGTCAGAAGACCTGAGGCTTTTTAATAGGTATTCTGAGTTTATTGCAAGAAAAAAATATATAGAAATTTCTAAAACCAGTAGTGATGTATGAAAGAAGAGCTAACCCAAAGCCCATCAAAATGTGTGGGCAAGAGGTCATCTCTTCAAAGGATGCCATCTTGGATCTGCAGGCACCACCAATCTGGAGCCAACCACAGCTGGAAGACATAATGTGTCTGGATTGATTGATTAATTAATTGATTATATATTATATAATATATGATTATAATATAATATGTAACAATATATAATTAATAAAATAATGATTATTTAAGTATTATTGTAAAATAATGATCAGTTAATTAATTGGTTAATCTTTTGGACCTGGACCCTCAGCTCCATCACTTGCTAATTGCATGACTTTGAGTAATTGGCTTCATCTATATGGGCTTCAGTTCTCCCATCTATAAAAAGGTAGTTGGGGTAGCAGGGGGTGGATGAGGATAGCTGGAGGATTAGAGGCATTGCGGCATAAAGGAAAGAACTCTGGCTTTAGAATCAGAAACCGGGGGATTCAAATCTTGCTGCTGCTGCTTGTTACCTGTGTGACCTTGGACCACCCCCCCCAGGCCTCAGTTTCTCACTTATAAAATGAGGGGGTAATGTTAGATTCCCTCTGTGGCCCTTTCCAGCTCCAAATCTTATCATCTCATCTCTTTTGCTAACTCCTCCTCCTCTTCCTTCCTGTAACTGTGATTGACCCCGAAGCTCAGTCCTTGACCCTCTTCTTTGCTCTGCCCTTTCTCAATCTGTGAGCTGAGCCTTTCTCACAGCTTAACTCATCAACTCAATGCGAGAGACTCCTTAATCTGGATCTCCATCTCTGACTTGTCACCTGGGCTCTACTCTATTATCTCAAACTACCCACAAGACATTTGCACTGAAAAATCCTGGCAGCTTCATCTCTCCATTTCCAAATCTAACCTTACCATCTTCCACTCAAATCAATCTCATGGGTTGATGATTTGGAGAACTGTATAGGAGGAAAGCAGAATGAAAGAATGTTGGATTTGGAGATGGCAGACCTCGGTTTAAATTCCAGCTCTGCTTCCTACTAGCTGTCTGACCTTGGACAAGTCACCTGACCTCAGTTCATTTGTAAAATTAGAGGGGTAAACTAGATTGCCTTTGAGTTCCCTTGCAGCCGTAAATCCATAATCCTATGAACATGATGAATAGTTTATATTTCTATAGTGTTGTAAGGTTTACAGAGAACCTTCCTCACAACTTTGAAAGAAGTGGTGCAAATATTATTATTATTCCCATTTTACAGACTGGAAAACTAGGGCAAAGAAGTGACATAATTTCCCCATATTCACACAAGAGGAAAGTGTCAGAGCCAGGATCCAAGCCCAGGTCTTCTTACTCTTAATTCAATGAACTTTCTGTTACAGCAAGCTGTGTCTGATATTTAAACTGGTAGAGCAAATTATTATTTTCATGTTTACATTATCTTCTTGGACCTGTGAAAGGCAGGACATTGGGAAAGTGAAGACGCTAAAGCTGAGAAATATGAAATCAATTGTCTAAGGACAGGTGACTGAGGCAGGACTAGACCACCAAACCAGGGCTCTTTCCACTAAGCTCTGATGCAACCTCTTCTCTCTTTACATACTGACTGTGAAGGTTGCCTGCTCCTTCCTTTGAGGCTTCCATCAGTCCTATCATTGACAGGTAAGAGGCCCTGAGATCCTACCCATCCATCACCTTTCCCTTCACCTAGTTCCCATAAGCGCTATGGATAGCAGGACTTTCCTGGTTTCGCAGATATGAAAATGTAGTCATGTGAGGTAGCTGGACAACCATTAGTAAGTAATATCAACCTGGGGAAGACAGAGCACCCCCAGAATGGTTCACAGATAAGGAAATTGACCACCCACCACATATGGCACTGACTAAGAAAAATTTAGATTTTCTAGCCGGCGAGGACAGGAGGGACCATGACCGCCCCATACCCGAAGTATGCTCTTGGATGTAGTGAAAAGAAAAAGGGCCTGGGAATTGATATATTTGGATTTAAGTTTTAGCTCTGCCATTAATTTACTGAATGACCTTTAGCAAGTCTCTTCTCTTTTCAGGGATCTCATTTTCCTCCTCTGTAAAATTAATGGTTTAAAGTAGATCCCTAAGTACCTTTCCAGCTTTAACAATCTATATTCCATATTCTAAGGTCCTTTTTAGCTCTATCCTTCTATGTTCCATGTTCTCTGTTCCATTATCTCTTCCAGCTCTAATATTCCATGTTCTAAGAGCACTAACATTCTATGTTCTACTTTCTTATGTTTGCCTCTGACATTCTAAGATTCTATGATCCTATGATTCTCTGCCAGGGAGTCCAGGTGGTATCTGGCTCCCAGAAGGGCGCTCTCCACCACCAACAACCAATGTTGCCAACACAGAGGTAAGAGTGCCACCTATTGAATCCCCAGTCCGTGGCTGATTGCTTGTCTCAGAGAAAAATCCTGAAAGGAATTGTTTGAATTTGCAATATTCAAAATGGTGGTTGCCTGTCATCCCTATCCACCCCAGGACTAGCCCTGCCTTGGGGACCAGTTAGTTAGCTTGGCCTTTTCTTGCACTATTCATGGTATTTGGAACTAGACACTCCCCAAGGGAAACCAGTATCCCAGGCCAATACCCTCTAAGCAGCAGAGCTGAGCTGGGCACAGCCCGACCGCTGCCCGAACCCTTTCTGTGTGCTAGGCCCTGTGGCATGGAGACCAAACAATGACATGTATTGTGACTAAATTTCCCCCTGAAGATCTCATTCAAGATGTAAGAGTGAGAGATCATAAAATGAATTAATAGTTGATTCGCTGTATAATTTCCTAGTTCAATATACTTTAGTGTAGCGGCTAAATGAGGCATCGAGCCCATTCAGTGCGGCCAGATAGCAGCTTTATCATTGAGATCTCAGGCTTAGAAATAAAAGCAATTCTTCTGAAGTAATTGCGTCTAATTAAAAGAAACATTTAAAAAGTGTAACCAAAAGGAATTCATTTCAAATGGAAAATTAATGCTGAAAAATAGCCCTAAGCTCTCTTGTCGCAGTAATAGCTGAGCAGTCTCAGAATAATTAAACTGTTTTGAAATGTTGATACCTTCCCCTCTGGAAATGATAGCCCTGGCTGAACACATCAGCCTGGCACCAGGATGAAGCCTCTGCCTCCTAATCGGTGCCGGGGCCCAGGGCCAGGCGCCAACACCAGGTTCCTATGTGGGGAAGGACTAGAGAGTCCATGGGAAGACTGGCAGGCGCTGGCATCAGAGAAGCCCTGTGTCCGGGAAAGAGGAAGCCAGCACTCTGGGCTCTGTGAGACAGGATGGCTCTGCAGGAAGAAGCTGCCTTTACCAGGGCTTCTCAGTGATGCCCCCATGCTGCCCCCACTTCCTAAATTCTTTGGACATCAAATTCCCATTAAGAGTTTTGGCCTCACTAAGTCTTCTGTGGGAGTCACAGTGGAACTGACCATGGTATGGGGCAAGAGCTAAGCTAATTTGGGGGCAGGTGCTTGGCCTCAGAGAAGCAGATCTCTTTATAACAAGAGAGAATGGCACTAACTTCACATGCATGCATGAGTGATGGGATCTATGGGACATATGTGGAGGTAGTTGTGTCTGAGGTAGGAGAAGAAAGTCTGGACCTTGGTCCTGGCTCCCCTCTATCACTATGGGCCTAGAACATACCATAGTCCCTCTCTGGAGCTCAATTCCCCATTAACGGGAAACTGCGAGAATAATACAGTGAAACACCTTTCAGCCCATGCTAAGTGCTATCCCTAGAATCAGAGCGTGGTTTACCATGAGCAGGGACATGGAAATACTTCTGTTAGTGTTTCCTTGGGGCAGTGTGATTGATATATTAGAAAGAGTTAAGGAAATTGTCAGAGAAACTTGGATTCAGATCCCACAACTTTAACACTTCTTTGCTGTGTAGGCATGGGCTTAACCTCTTAACCTCACTTAATCTCTCAGAGTCCTGGTTTCATCATCTGTTGTTATTGTTCTCTAGTCCTTCCCCACATAGGAACCTGGTGTTGGCGCCTGGCCCTGGGCCCCGGCACCGATTAGGAGGCAGAGGCGTCATCCTGGTGCCAGGCTGATGTGTTCAGCCAGGGCTATCAGTTGTTTCAGTCATGTCTGACTCTTTGTGACCCCATTTGGGGTTTTCTTGGCAAAGATACTGCAGTGGCTTGCCACTTCCTTCTCCAGCTCATTTTACAGGTGAGGAAACTGAGGCAAAGAGGATTAAGTGATTTGCCCAGGATTACAGAGCTAGTATCTAAGGCTAGATTTGAATTTAGGTCCTTCTGACCCTGGGGCCAGCACTCTAAACACTGTACCACTTAGCTTGTATATTGACCAGAAATACTTGAATTGACTTATAGAGCATGGGGTGACTCAAGAGAGGCAACATGGCCCAGTGGAAATCCAATCCAATCCAATAAATATTTATTAGGCATACTACCATATGCCAGGCACTGCACTAAGAGCTGGGGACACAATTAATAAAAAGAAATAGAGTCCCTACCCTCAAGGAGCTTACAGTCTAATGGGGGGGAGGGCCGGAGAAGAGAACGTATGAAAGAGGCAGGAAAGGGAGGGCAGAAGACCAGGGAGTACTTGTCCAGCGGCATCTTATTCCATAGAGTTGAAACCAGGAAAGGCGGCAGATGCACAGTGGAGTTAGTTATCTAAGAGTGCAGCAAAGGAAGGTACTGGGGGGGGAGTTTGGTGCACCCCCTTCCAGCCCTCCAATCAGAGGGGAGAGGAGGCTGAGAGAGGTGGCATTAATCGAGGCTTGGGCTGGCAGAACAGTGAGGAGTTTAGTTAGAAGTGATGAACTTATCCTGGGAAGGGCAGCTTGCTCTGGGGAGCTGAACCAGACAGAGGAGCAACAGATGCAAAGTCCAGCAGGCAGCAGTCCTGTATTCCTGTCCAGTTCTGCCATTTACTAGCTCTGTGAACTCAGTCAAGTCATTTCACCTCTGGACCTACTGAGCTTTAAGGCTTTTGAGTTAACTGACCAGTCACATTTGCCTCTATCTCAGCTAGGTGGCACCACAGTGCATAGAGTGCTGGACCTGGAATCAGGAAGACCTAAATTCAAATCCATTCTCATTTACTAGGTGTGTGACCCTGGACAAGTCACTTAACTTCTGTCTGTCAGTTCCCTCATCTGTAAAGCGGAAATAATAAGAACACCTAGTTTCTAAGGCTTTTGCAAGGATAAAATGAGATACTATTTATAGAGTGCTTTGCAAACCTTAAAGTGATATCTAAATGTTAGCTATTACTATTTTACTCTATAACATAATAAATAACACATAGTAGATATTGAGCAAATGTTGGCTCACTTTCTTCATGCGTAAAATAAGGGTGTTGAACTAAATTCCTTTCCAGCTCTAACTAATAAGAGCTTGTCCATAGGATCATCATAACAATAGTGATAACCAACATTTGATCCTTTTTTTAATGGAACACATGAGGAAATTCCTCCTACCTATGTAAATCATCCCTTGCTCTGCAACTTATAATCTTAAAGAGTTGCTTGGGGCGCTGAGAGGTTAAGTGATTTGCCCAGCATCACACAGCCAATATGCAGAATGGGGACTTGAACCCGGGTCTTCAGACTAGGAAGCAAGCTCTCTGTCCACTACATCTCTCTACTCATATTTATGAAAGTGTTTTCTAGGATCTAGGACTAAAAAGAATTCAGCAATGATCTAGTCCAACCCCTTCATTTTATCCAAGGTCACATGGGCAGTAAATAGAAGAGCCTGCTCTCCTTTCCCCTGAACCCCTGGCCTCTCAAGCCTGCCTTCTCGTCGGTTGTACCACTGGCCTCTGCTGTCGCCAGGGTGTAACTACACATTATCTTCATTTCCTCAGTCCCCATCAACTCTACCATCTACCCCAGCCAATTAACTCCTACTAACAGCCACTCACAAAACACTATCCGCAGAAAGTAACATATAACAAAGGAATACGCAAAATACACAAAGAAGGGCAAGTAGATCATCATGGTTTTGGGCCCTCCTCATGAGTACAGATTGAGAACCACTGCATTCAATCATGGCTGAAAATGAAAGATTAAGGCATCTTAAGATGGCCATGGCACTCCACAGATGCCCCCTGTGACACCTCACTTGGTTGTGAAGTGGATTCCATGTCCTGGTTTCTAGAAGGCTCATCTATTTAGAACCAGAAGATTTCTCATCTAATCCAGCCCTCTTATTTTACAGATGACGAATTGAAGCCCGAGGAGGTTCATTGATTTAGCCAAGCCCACACAGGCAGTAAGTATCAGAAGTAAGATTTGAACCCAGGAACTCTAACTCCAGGGTCAGTGTTCTTTCCATTGCACCATGCTTGTCTCCCTTAAGGCTATGCCTGTCAAGCAGAGCTTTTGTAAGACTTCCTACTAAGGAGAGAAGGAGTTGGAGTATGGTCTTGATTGTGCATCTACTGTCCCTGGACCCAGGCAAGCTGAATTCATCAACACTCATTCTCAAAAGGTTAGCCACTGGGTTACACACATATTTTTGGCCATAACAACTCATTAAACCATCTACTAAGGTATAGGTTGGCTGTAATCTGCATTGGTGAAGGGTGCCCCATACTAAGGAAATCAGAGTTCATTTGGAATGGAATGGAAAAACATTTTACTAAGCGCTTACTCTGTGCTAGGTGGCGCAGTGGATAGATCACTGGGCCTGGAGTCAGGAAGACCTGAGTTCAAATCTTGCCTCAGATACTGACTAGCTATGTGACCCTCTGCAAGTCACTTAACCTCAGTTTCCTCCTCTGTTAACTGGGGATTATAATAGTACTACCTTGCAGTGTTATTGTAAGGTTCTAATGAGATAATATTTTATAAAGTACTTAGCACAGTGCCTGGCATATAGTAAGCACTATATAAATGTTAGCTATTATTATTACTAAACGCTGTAGTAAGCACTGTACTACAAATAGAAAGTCAAGACCGTCCCTGCTTTCAAGGTGCTCATATTCCAACTGGGGGAGAAAACCCATGAAGGAGGATTCATGTTCACATTCAGTACATGCCAGATGGAAAGGCCAGGTAACATTTGGGTTCTGGTAGCAAAAGTATAAGCACAATGTTGGTGGCTGCTCCCAATCGTCAGGCCACCCACAATGGGGTGGGGCAGTGGAGGGTAAGATCAGTGATAGCATTTCCATGGTGAAGTGGAAGAAGCAATGATTTTGGAGATAGAGAGTTTGGGTTCAAATCACAACTCTGACACTTTCTGTCCAGGTGACCTTAAGTCGCTTAACCACCATGGACCTGTTTCCTCCCCTGTAAAACAAAGAGGGTAGGGCCAGATGATCTTTGAGACTCTCCTGATTCTTAATCTATGATTCAGTGATCCCTGTGGTTTTTCTACATTGTACACCCAAGGCTAATGATCAGTACTCCCTTCACCTATATTTGTTCTTCTATTAGTCAGGGGGAGACTTATTGTCTCTTTAAAGCCCTGGAAAATACCAGCCTAGTAGCTGCCATCAATGTGAAACCCAGAGAGAGAGCCACCCCAGGAAAAGCAGGAGATGTGATGGTCTGTTTATACTATTCACATGCTGTTTCCAAGGTTATTGGATCATAGACAGCTGGACAGATATAATACTTGGCTCCTCACTATCAGAGATCCCTTTGCTCCCTAGAAAGGGACTCCAGCTTGAATTTGGGTAGGTGGAAACCAACATGAAAACATTCAGCCTCTAGTCTAGAGACTCTGAAGGCTTAGCACTAGGAAAGTTTCCAATCAACGGCCCTTCACAACCTGGCCCCAAACCATCTTTTCAGCCTTGTTACCCATCACTCCCTTTCACTCTGCAGTTTGGTCAGATTGGACTTCTTTCTGTTCCTCACACACAACATTCCATGTCACTCATGTCTTTGCATTGATTATCCCTCATGCTTAGAAATTCGTCCCTCTTCACCAATACCTCTTAAAATGCCTTGTTTCCTTCAAGGCTTAGCTCGAATATTACCTCCCACATGAAGCATTCCTCATCCCCCAACCTGCTGGAGACCTGGGCCCCCCCCCCCAAAAAAGGCTCATGTCTATTTTGTATATATACCTATACTATGCCATCTCACCTCAGCTAGATCATAAGCTCCTTGAGAAAAAGGACTATTTCATTTTTGTCTTTGTACCCCCAGCAAATAGCATGCTGCCTGGGTCAGAGTAAGCACTTAATAAATGCTTATCAATTGATTAATTGAACAGTAACAATGCTCACATTTCTGGAATGCTTTAAGATGTATAATTAGTTTTCCCCCCCGCAGCTCTATGAGGGGGTTAGTGAGAGGACTATTCCTCTGATGGAGGAGGAAGTTGAGCTAAATTGACTTACCCAAGGTCACAGAGCTAGGAAGATTTTAGAATCGGAAGTAAAGCCTAAGTCTTCTATTTGCAAGTTCAGGACCCTTTCTGGGAGACCACATTTCCTCATTGTCATCCATATTAACAACCCAATCTGCAGCGGCCACGTCTCTGTGGTTTCTGCTCCCATTCCCTTTATCTGGCATCTCCTTTCCTTCTAATAGAATATGCTCGATTCATCCAAAACTTTTCCTTTATCCTCGAACCTTTCTAATTGAGCTAACATTATTAGAAGGTTTTAAAAAAAAAACTCCCAAATTCCCTTTGCGTACCAGTAGCTCTTTAATATGCGAGGCAGCGAGAGATGAGCTGGGTCTAATTACAAGTCCCTGGAGTAGCCAGTCAGAAAATGAATTGATGCGTTTTTTCCTTATGAACAATGCATGTCCCACAAATTAGAGCCGCCATCGCCAGAGATTTAATTACAAAATATCATTACTTTCACACATCATTTCAGATTTGGCCTGATCAAATCAAAGTTGGGGAGAGAGGGGGAAAAACTGCACTCCTAGCAGGGTCAGATGTTCAGGGGGATGTGAGCGAGTGTGGGAAGGAGGGAGGGAACTGTTGTTATTGAAGCTTCCTTCCTCAAAGCCTGCTCTAGAGAGGGAACTGAAGGCAGAGGCAGGCAGGGAAAGAAGAAGGGTTTCCTGGGCTCGGGTTACAGGCTGTCAGGGTTCCTGAGCCTGGAGGAGCCCACATGGGGCAGTACAGGGCTTAGGAGGGACAGAGACAGGATGATGCATAGCACAGTGGGGAGTCATGGCAGTGACTCAGAGAAGTGGTGTGGAAAGAGTGCCAGATCTGGAGTCAGAATACCTGAGTTCGTCTTCCCCACTCTGTTCCTCACTACCCGTGTGACCCTGAGCAAGTCTGGACTGAACTGGAAAGCACCTAGAAAATCTCTTGCAGTTTTCAATCAATGATCATTTGATCTCATGACTCTCTCTTACACCTCTCAGGGGAACCTCAGGTGAATGCTGTCCTTGCTTGAACATTGCACTTGGAGCTAGGTGGTGGACTTGCCTTCCCCCTTAAAAGGCATTTGTTTTAAAGAAACACTAAACCTCTTGAGATGGGATCCAAAGTGACCTACTGATAATGAATTCTGTTCTGCAGTACCGGGCATGATCATGAAGGTCCCCAGGATTCAGCGTCTGAGCTGAGAGAGCAGGGGGGCCCAGGCTCTGCCCTGTGCTGGACAACCTAAACCAGCAGTTAAAGGCATCAGAAATGGCCCTGTTGTGTTTCTTATTGTAGTTGTTCAGCAGTTTTTAGTCATTCTTCATGACCCCGTTTGGGTTTTCTTGGCAAAGATACTAGAGTGGTTTGCTATTTCCTTCTCCAGCTCATTTTAAAGATGGGGAAACTGAGGCAAACAAGATTAGGTGACTTGCCCAGAATCACACAGCTAGTGTCTAAGGCCAGATTTGAACTCAGAAAGATGAGTCTTCCAGACTCCAAGCCCAGCACTCTATCCATTGTGCCACCTAGCTGCCCAGTAAGTTTCTAGGGGAAATATTAAGAAGTCATCTGCTACATTGGAAAGAAACTTGGATCTGGAATGAGAGAAATTTAATTTGACTGTCAGGCCTGCCACTTACTATCTGTGTGACTTTGGTCACATTTAACCTCTCTGAGGCTCAGTTTCCTCATCTGTAAAATGAGAGAGTTGTACTAGATGGCCTCTACAGTTTTTTCCAGCTCCAGATCTTTGAGTCTGTGAACCCAATTTATGCATACAGTCCCTGCTCCAACAGTGAAGAACATCAACTTGGAATTTAGAACAGACGGAAAATAAACTTGACCTTTTATGCCTGTATCCCTAGCCCCTAACAGCACCTTGTGCATAAGACGGACTTCCATATTTTTTAATTCACCGTTACGTCTCACTAAAAACAACCCCAAGTTATAACCCCTGAGATAAATTGAGGGACAATATTTCAGTCCATCTTAAGGGGAAAGGGACACTGACCTTAGTTCCAAGAAAGACTCAGTATACAAATGATGACAGTCCCAAAATTATGGGATTGGGAATGCCTGAAAAGGCAGGAAAAGCCTTCCTTGGACTACCATTTGCATCAGGGGCCAATGGACACCAAGCCCTGACATGGATTTTGAATCCTGGCCCAGGACAGAGCCATCAGGCCAAGGGCACTGTAAGAAGGCATACTTCTCTTCACCAGAAATGAAGAAATGAAGGTTTGTTCAGTTTTCCATTAACCTAAGGGACATTGGGGTCAATAGTCATCCTCTATAGATGATGACAGGTCCCAGATGAGAGGACCCCATGGGAAAGGGACATTGGAGCTGCCAGATGTGATACACAAGGAGATGGATCAAAGGAAGTCGATGTGTGAGACAGGAAAAACAGCCAGGCTCACCGATCACAGGAGAAGACAGGCTCTCAAACAGGGCCACCAGCTTCCATGTTCATTCCATTGACTCTAAGGCAGAAGCCCCCAAGACCCTTTTAGGGAGTCCTCAGAGTCCAAACTATTTTCACAATAACACCAAAATATTTTAATTTCTAATACAATCAAATAAATTTCTGATATAATAAATAAATGTCTGAATGATAAATTTCCAAGAGGATAAATTAATAGCTCATTCCAATAATTTGTATGATCATCAAACTGCCCAGTTTGATAGAAGAGGTCACTGGCAGTCATAAAGTCATAAAGATAGAGAATCATAATCATAAAGATAGCTGACATTTATATTTATGTGACCTGCACACTTTAAGGTGTGTGTATACACTTTGCAAAAATTATCTCTTCAACAACAACCCTGTGAGATGATTACTACAGGCATTATTATCCCCATTTTACAGATGAGGAAACTGAGATTTGACAACTTGCTTATGGTCACAAATTACTAAGCAGAATAGATAGGATTTGAATGTAGGTCTCCTTCAACTCCAGGTCAAGTCAAGTTAGCACACGTTTATTAAGCACTAACTGTGCTAAGCAGCAAGATACAAAGAAAGGCAAAAAAAAGTCTCTGCCCTCAAGGAGCTTTCATTCTAATGGAGAAAAGCCTAGGGCTGCCACTCTTGCCACTCCATCATACTTCCTTTCAATAAAAGAG